AGCAGCGACAGGTACCGCGGGTTCTGCTGTGCGGGGCTTGGGGTTGAGTTGTTCCTCCTCCCGTCTACTGTTCTCAACACTCTTCATTTTCAGAGCATGAAATGGTTATTTTTCTCCCTGAAATCCTACCAAATGGAAAACAGTTGGCTGCTCAGAAGAGACAAAATTAAATTTTGTGGGGTAAACAAGGTTGCTAATTAGCTGATGTGCTGTGCAAAGTTAATTTATTCCCAACATGTCACGGTGCCAACCCTGCCTGAAGAGCCCATCCCCGTGGCCCAGGCTGACCCGCGGGGGTGGCTCTGTCTCCGGTGGGACGTGGGACCACAGCCGGCCCTTAACCGGGACTTTTTGCTTCCCCGTGCACAGGAAGAGCCCTTTGTCATGTTCCGCAAGTCCGACACGGCGCTGTTCGGGAACGACCGCTTCGAGGGCTACTGCATCGACCTCCTGAAGGAGCTGGCCATCATCCTGGGCTTCACCTACGAGATCCGGCTGGTGGAGGACGGGAAATATGGGGCACAGGACGAGAAGGGGCAGTGGAACGGCATGATCAAGGAGCTCATCGACCACGTGAGTGAGACCCGTCTGCGCGGGCGGCCGGCGGTGCTGGGGGGCAGCTGTCCCCAGGCTGTCCCCAAGGGTCTCTCCCTGGGCGGGGGGGACGGGTACCGCTGCTCGCTGCCTCGGGGTGCCCGTGAGCCTGCTCTCATCCCCCGGGGATGCTGCTGCTCTGCCCGTGACACCCATGGGCCAGGGCATGACACCGGCGTGGCTCAGGGACCCCGGACGTGTCCCAGACACAGCTCGGCTGAACCCAGATGAAGTGTCCAGACTGCAAGAGGAGGCGTGCAGGGGACAGTTTAATACATTTTATTTTTTATAGACACAGCTCATTTTCTAAAACCTCCTGGGACTCACAGCTCAGCCTGCACCAGAGCAGCTGTGCTTCTCCTTCCGCAGCCACTTCCACAAGCCCATTAAACACCAGCAAAGCTGTCGTGGCAGCTTCACTCTCACGGCCACCAAAACGGCCCCTCGTCTGAAACCCCTGCTCGCAGCCAGAGGTTGCTCGGTCTCCTAATTAGATATTTTGCCTCCGGCACATCCTGTGATCCCAGAAGCCCAGTTAGGTGAAGAAAGCTGGTGTTTTTATGAATCTCTGATTCCCAGAAAAGGTCTCTGGAAGAAAAGCTCAGGACAAAATTCATCTGTGATCCTGGCAGCACAGGCAGCAGCACAAGCAATCCTGGAGCCATGACCCAGCGCCCTGCTCCGAGCACCCTGCTCAAGCCGTGCCGCCCTTGGACCACCTCTCAGGTTCCTGGCCGCATGCGGAAAACAGCAGAAGAGAGACCAAAATAACCCCACGGACGTAGCAGCTGTGATGCTCCTGCGGTTTGTGTGAGAAGAATGCGTTTGGTGGGTGAGTCACCACAGTGAGCCAGCGTGGCTGCGCAGAGAACAGAGCGTTGTCTGGCGCAAGGCTGCGGCGCGGGGGCTCGGCATCCAGGTTGTGTTTCCGGATTTGGCTCATCTGCCCTAAATGACATTGGACAAGTTGCTTCTGTGCAGCGCTTCCTCCATCTGTAAATGCAGATGATAATGACTGCGTCCCTCACAGGGACAAAGCGATGCTTCATCCGCTGGGGAAGAGCGCTGCAGTCCTCGCTGCGGAGCGGGAGCAGGGCAAGGGCATGCAAGGACAGCCCCCGGGGAGCAGATGTGTCACCGGGGAACACGCCACGGGCTGCACAGACCTGCCTCTGTACCTCTGCTTCCAGAAACTCCGCACAGCTCTGAATCGAGACTGCGTGCTCTCTTATGCAACAGCCCGGCTCAGTGTGACAAGGGACGCTCGGCCGGTGCTTCACCGCTCCGAGTGACGTGTGTGACACAGGCAGGGACAGACGCAGAGCGCAGGCTGCGCACCCCGGCACCACGCTCCAGGATACGGCCCCCGCGGCCCCGTGGCCGGGAGCAGAGCCCGGCTCTCACCCCAGAGCATCTGCGGTGTAGGGCTCTGGGGAAGCAAACCGCTCCAAAGCAGGACATCAGCTGCACGAAAGAGCAACCAGGCTGTGGTTTACTCCAAACCACGTCACTCCCAATGCCCTGCGAGACGTTATGGGGCTCTCGGAAGGCTTTCAGCCACTCCCAAAGCTGGTCAGCTAAAAAAGACAGATGAGAAGAAAATGCAGGGAACGACCTCACTAAGTAACACTACATTCACGGTTGACCCGCATTAAAGTATTTCTTGGCTAACTATTTAAAAAGCAAATGAACGTACGGCAGCAGAAAAGGACCAAATCCCCTCTTCTTGCAAGTTTTACTGGAGCATCAAGTTTGAACTCTGCTTTCTAACAGGTGTGGTTGGGTGCACGCCTTGGAGTAATTTATAGCCCTTGCCCAAACCCCATGCAAAGCTATTATTTTCTTTATCTGCATGTCATTGCTTTTTATAGCAGTGTTTATGTAAAGCATTAAAAAGTGAAACTGCAACCAGATGGGGCCCTTCCTCAGCAGCAAAGCATCTTCAGACCGTGTGGGGAAAGGAACAACTGATTGGCACTTTGCAATGGGAAAGTTCAAACTTATTTCACACCTAGTAGGAAAAGTGTGGGAGACAGCATTCAAACAAAGTTGTTGTGATGAAAACAGGGCTGCCCACGTGGCGAGTCTGATATCTAGGCTGGCTTTCCTCCATATTCAGTGCCTCTTTCTCATCAAAAAATTGAGATTGTTCAGGTGGGAACATGAAGCAGGTGGGATTTAGCAATGTCCAAACACCCTGGCCAGGATTAACTCTATGCAGAGACCCACTTAACCGGCATGTGAGCCTGACCGGCCGGGACTGAATGCCTGGAAACAGAGCAAGGGCCATCCCATCGCGCAGGATGGCCTCGTGCTGGGGCTGGAAATACCGCCAGCGAGGGGCTGGGCGGAGGTGCAGGCAGGGCAGCCCAGGCAGGCGTGCGACCACAGCGCTTCCCAGCTGACGGTGCCTCCCGCACAGGACCTGACGGAGGATGCGGCTGTTTCCGCAGAGAGCTCTCCTGGCTTGCTTTGGCGTCTCCATCGTCCTCCCTCCCTGTCCTCTCTGATCCAGACAAGCCTGGCCGCAGGCAGCACCGCCTCAGGCTACGCTGCTTTGTACAATCGCTTTGTCTCCAGTCTGGCCCTGAGCATAAACAGGAAATGCAGCCGCCGGAGCGGCTCGCGGCTCACAGCGTGACCCTGGCTTCCCGGTCCCCAGCACAGATCAGGAGAAGACAGCCTCACGCGGTCGGTTAGCTGCAAAAAGCCCTGCCCTGCTGCCCTTCAGCTGCTGCTCAGCCTTCATCGCACAAAAAAAAAAACCACCTTGTTTTGGGGGAGTTCAGCGCGTTCCCTGGAGAACGAGGCTCTCTCCCCATTGCAGCCGGTTACTGTCGCTCTCCCTGGCTGCTCCTGCAGATGAGCCTCCGTCGATCGTCGATGGGATGGGCCATGAGAGCGGGGCTGGCCCACAACACGGGCACTGCGGGAGGTTTGGGGCACCCAGGTGACAGGGAAGCTCCTGTGCCCTGCATCCATAATGTACAAAGAACCTGGCAACTGTCAGATCTCCTCCTTCCACCACTGGTGACCTGCTATTGATGTTTATTCATAGAAGTTACTATCGACACAAGGAAAACTCCACCGTGCGCTGGGGCCCATCCATTCTGATTTACAAATTCTGTCTGGCAAAACAACGCCTGCAAATCTTCCCTGCTGTTTGTGGGCAGAGACACATAAACCCAGCAACATGAGTTGTTCCGGACATTTTGCACAAAGTTGTTCACAAATAAAACTTGTCTTCTGCTGAAACAGTGCATCTCAAATTCCCATTCAATCTGAAACTTCATGTGGGAATAAAACAGGTATGAAAAATAATAGGGCTTGCAATGGAAATCCCTGCCAGTGGTGACTATAGAGAAGAGGTAATATCTGTCCTTAGGGACGATTTATGACAGTCGATTTAACACCTTCACAACAAACGGGCATTTACTGACAGTAAATTCTGGCAGGAACACACGCTGCCCCGCACGGCCACGTTCCCATCAACGCTCCTGCGCTGGCGGGGGTTCAGCTCCAGCGCCCTGAGCTGGGGATCCATTTGGAGGCCTCTGATTGGGCGAGGAACAGGAAACAAGCAATTTCATTGGATGAAACGTCCTCCACTGCTCATTACACCCTATAGGAACGCGGCGTTAGGAGGAACAGGAATAAGCCAAAGAGCTGGCTGCACCTTTGTGCTCAGCATCCTTCCTTGGCTGGATGCAGATTTATCGTATTCAGAGATGGAAGCGAACTGAAGCGCACGTTGGGAGCCCCGAGTTCTCTGCTGGTTCCACAGGTCTCTCCGGACCTGCCCTTCCCTCCCCTGGCTTGTTCACCTCATTCACGGGATAGGGCTTGTCCCTAAAAACACGTCTGTTCTCACGGGGACCCTACAGCCTGTGACATCTCTTAGGTACAATTAACAGTAGTTCTGCCTCCGAGGAACTTCCCTAAAGGAAAGATTACAAGAGGCCCAAGAGGACTTCAAGGTCCTCATTTCTCCTCCTCAGCGCACAGCGAGGTTTTCCCTGCCAACATCATTTTCTTAATTCACCCTTGCCAGTAAATAAACCCATTGACAAAAATTATGTCTAAATTAGGACGGGAATTGTAGGAGCAGCCATTAGGAGCTGGAGTCAGGCAATCAGCACTGACCCCCTGCGCAGGGTGGGAGCAGTGTCAGGACAGGGCACAGGCCAGATGCTGCCGGGCACGACCTCGCTCTCCCACGAGCATCACTCTCCCACCTGGTGCTTTCCCATCCCCGGCCAGCCAGAGGCCAGGCTGCGGGCACAGGGCAGAGCTAGAGCAGCAGCCCCTCCGTCCCCACACCCGGGGGCTGCAGGGAGGATGCAGAGGGATGCAGGAGTGAGGCCAGGACCCCACGCCCGGGGGCTGCAGGGAGGAGGCAGAGGGATGCAGGAGTGAGGCCAGGACCCCACGCCCGGGGGCTGCAGGGAGGAGGCAGAGGGATGCAGGAGTGAGGCCAGGACCCCACGCCCGGGGGCTGCAGGGAGGATGCAGGGGGATGCAGGAGTGAGGCCAGGACCCCACACCCTGGGGCTGCAGGGAGGATGCAGGGGGATGCAGGAGTGAGGCCAGGCCCCCACACCCTGGGGCTGCAGGGAGGATGCAGGGGGATGCAGGAGTGAGGCCAGGGCCCCACGCCCGGGGGCTGCAGGGAGGATGCAGAGGGATGCAGGAGTGAGGCCAGGACCCCACGCCCGGGGGCTGCAGGGAGGATCAGGGGGATGCAGGAGTGAGGCCAGGACCCCACGCCCGGGGGCTGCAGGGAGGATCAGGGGGATGGAGGAGTGAGGCCAGGACACAGCAGACCCGGGGGGGACAGGTGCTGGAGGTACAGCAGCTGGGCAGGCAAAGCACGGGGGGAGCAGAGACGGGACCGGGAGCAGGGCAGGGGGAGCAGAAGCACAGGGAAGCGCTGCAGCCCCAGAGTCAGGATGGCAAAAGAGCCCATCGAGGGTTTAGAGTGTCGATGGTGCCAGACAGACACCTGAATGACAATTAATTAAAATAGGCACTATTTACCTGTCTCTCAGGCAACAAACACATCATTAGTTTATGTAAACACCTAACTCAGACTGGCAAAATAAGCACAGAGCTAGCTTATTTTCTTGAACAAATATTTGTCCTGGTGCTTATGCTGTTTGTGGGCTCGGCTGTGATGGGCCGTCACCAGCAGCTTTCCTCCGGCGGAGGTCGATGCTGCAGGATCCCCACAAGCCACAGGCCCATGATAACTGAGAACTTAAAGACTTTGCATTTTCTGACAAAAGGCAAATCTCTCTGCAGAGAATACAATCCTCCACCCACTGAACGCCCGGTGAACTCACATCAGCGCCACCCCAGTGACAATGCTGCAGCACCGGGTGAGGACACCCAGACCCTTCAAGGTGCGTCAGGAGTGTCTGCGTTTGGCGTGCAGCTGCCTTGGCAAAATTCATCCTTTTGGCCCCAATTCAGCAGAACACTTAAGAACACGCAGAAGGCTTGGAAGGCGCGCAAGCTCCAGTAAAACAGAAGCGTGTACTTAAGTGGTTTTGCTGGATGAGGGCCTTTGAGCCACTGGCGCTTGCTATAATTCCTCATTTTTAATAAAACCCATCTTACCGTGCAACGGCAGAAGAGCTGAGGCTGAGGGAAGGAAGCAGTCAGGGCCTGATAATTGACTTCCCACTTTGTAATGTCAGAGCACGACAAATGAAAGGTTCACCCTTGGTGGGTTTTGATTTAGATCCTCCCAGTCAGCAAACCCTTAATTAGAGGCCACCTTCAGAAAAATCTGCATTGATGAAAAGGATAGGGAAGCGCAGCCCCGCACCGCCTTTAACAGCTGAGGACATCACTCCAGGCTGGGCTCCTGACACACGCTCCATCCCGCCCGCGTGTGACATTTACTGCCAAGGACACGGGGCTGTGAGCGCATCACAGGAGCTGCTGAAATGACACAGTAAAATTTTATTTCTGCACTAAAAGCATTTTGATCCTTGGGCATCCATGCAGATTCCTCTCCCCTCTAAAGCACAAACTCCGAGCTGCTCCTTAGCTCGCCGTGTCATTTTGACAAATCTGGCCCCGGATCTTTCAGACAGGCGGTTGCTACGAGCGCTGACCACAGAACTGCTCGTTTGTTCCCTCCTTCAGAAAAATCCGCAGCCAAATCCTTCAATATCTCCTTCGGTTTTCCCTGTTGAGCCAGGACACCCACACGCAGGCGACGGAGGAGCTGAAATGCTGCATCAGTTTTGCCATCTCTGCCGTGTGACTCCGGAGACAAAAAGCCCGAACTCCCGAGTGTGCTATAAGGTGGGCAGAGACCGAGCCAGAAACCTGCCGGCATCCTCCGCCAGGACGGCCCCGGGGACGCGTGCCCTGCTCCTCGGAGGCAGAAGGTCACTGTCCCCAGCTGGGCAGCCAGCGTTGTCCCCTCCTCAAACCCACCGTCCGTCCCTTCTCACCAGTGTCGCCACAGCCACAGCGGGCGCAGAAGGGCTCACTGGGAAAATATCTGACAAAGGGCAATGATTGAAACAGACACGTTCTGTACCAGGCTGATTTTAAAATCTATTTCCATTTGGAAAGTGAGAAGGAAAGGGAACCAACCAGGGCTCAGCTCAAGAACCAAGTTAAAAAAAATACATTATTTTAACCCTTGTTAGAGAGCTCCTGAAACTCTCCCATTCAGGATCTCTAAAGCTGTGTTCTTGGGAGAGACCCTTTCACACACACACACGCCTATGGATGTGATGGATAAAGGCTCACATAGAAACTCTTCCTATAGAAAGGCCTAGATTTAAAAATATTCCACCGACTTTTGTCACAGATTTGCAAGGTCAAAGGAGATCATTAGTCTGACCTTCCCGCACAACACCAGCCAGAGATCTTCCCCAGTTCCCGCAGTGAACCCATCATTTCTGTTGGAGTGGAGCATGTCCTAGAAAGACAGCTAACATTGATTTAAAGTTTGCAAGTAATGACAAATCCACTATATCTCCAGGTAATTATCACTCATGGTTAATTTAGAATTTTAATTTTCAGAACCAGATGTTAAATAAATCTTGCATGGGTATGCTGAGCACCTGGCACAGGGGTACTGCTGAACTTCAGAAACGTAATTTATGTGCCTGCATTTCCTCTGAAACCACGGACACCGAGAGAGTGATCTGCAAACCCCGAGGAAGGCAGCTGACATTGAGGCAGCCTTGGATGTATTTACTTTAGGATTTTTGTAGAACCTGAATGTTTAGTGAGAGGTGTGAACGCAGCTCTTAACCAACAGAAAGGCTGTACACGGTTGCTCACTGAATCTATCAAAGAAACTATTAAATAACAGAAATATCAGAAAAAACACAATTCCTACAAGAAGCCAGGATAACGACTGCGCTCAGATGAAACTCCTCGTGCGGCTCAGGCGGTTCCAGCATCACGAGCTGTGAAGTCCACCATGAATGAGCAGCAGCATTTCCCGCAGGGTGCACAGCCACGGAACCACGCAAGGTTCTGCTCAGCCCCGGGCAGGCTCCTGGGCATTCCCCAGCAGGGCAGCGCTCCTGCCTATGCCTCGGCTTCCTCACAACGTGGTATCGTGACGTCAACTAAGGCAAGAGAAACGGAACCTTTTACCTCGTGCTGCCACAATCTGATTTCCTGCAGCTTCACCCCAGAGCAGCCCCGCTCTGCGCCTCTCCTCCTGCAGCAACGCCGAAAGGACGGCCGACAAAACCAACCCACCGCTGCAGCCGGCGGGGTCCGTGCACAGCAAACGCTCCGTCGTAGAGAGTTCTGCAGCAAGCAGCACACAGACGCTTTATGCCATTCTAAAATATAACTTCTCTGACCCTCTTAGACGAGCCCGTCAAACGAGCTCCTGCACCTCGGCAGAGGCTGCGGAGACTCCACCATCTCCCTGCTGCCTGCGCTGTGTTCCCCCAGCTCACGCCAACCGAAAATCTGCGCACGGAGAGTCCTAGAGCATCACCAGCAAACAGACCACGGTCTGCTCTCCAGCCCACTGAAACCTGAACAACTCTCTCAAAGCTGGTAAATCACACCACCAGCTCCAGAACCTCCCCAGCGTGTCCTGGAGACCCTGCCTCTGTGCTGGGGTTGTGTTCGGCTGATGAGAAGTTCTGGCAGTAACTGGACAGTCTCCCGTTTGCTGGCCCGCGTGGCAAGGCTGCGGGTTGGAAGCGGAGCAGTCGCAGGGGGTCCAGCCCGTGCCAGGCACAGAGGGTCCCACGGGCAGGGGTCCAGCCGGGCTCTGGCAGCGGCACGGGGAGGCGGGGAGCCCCAGAGCTGTGCTTTAGGGTTTTCTTGGCCCGTTACTGCAGCCATGGGTGTTTCTAAGGGGATGGAAACGCCTCGGTTTCTAACGCCCTCTTTCTCCCTCCCTCCACGTTTGCACAGAAAGCCGACCTGGCGGTTGCTCCTCTCACCATCACCCACGTTCGGGAGAAAGCCATCGACTTCTCCAAGCCCTTCATGACGCTGGGGGTCAGCATCTTGTACCGGAAGCCCAACGGGACCAACCCCAGCGTGTTCTCCTTCCTCAACCCCCTGTCTCCCGACATCTGGATGTACATCCTCCTCGCCTACCTGGGGGTCAGCTGCGTGCTCTTTGTCATCGCCAGGTAAGGGGACACCGGTGCGACCCGCCACCCACCCACCTGCCATCACACCACATCTGCTGCCACACAAGACGTCCTCCCCATGCTCAGAGTCATTCTGCTGCCTCGTGCGTTGCAGGGATCCACCCACCCCATGGCAGCCGCATCATGAAACCCGTATCCTACGGACGTCGCTTTTGGTCCATCACCCGAAGGCAGGCTGGGCTCTGGGCGTGGAGCTGCTCACAGCCGCCAGGCTCCTGTGCCCTGTTCCCTTTCTGTATCTCAGGGTGTTCGAGAGGTGATGCAAACCCCGTGGTGAAAATCAAAGACGAGCTAGCCACAGCGGAAATCTGTCTCCTTCTTCGCTAGCTAGAGCCTGCGTTATGCCCTTTGTACTGCTTCCCCATGCTAAACGCGCTCCTGTTTGTTTGCTCCATTAACATAAGCCTGTAAGCCTCTTTCGCCACACCAGGGCAGGCAGTTCCACAGATTTAGTACATTTTCCAGTACAAAAGAATTTTAAAATGCATTTTCTTTTATGGCTTTAGAAATTTTGTTGCCTTTCCACTTCATTAGCACCTCCCTGGTATAATGAGCAGTAATTTTCCTGCTCCGTACCGCTCACCATTCATGCTCTGTTAGGTCACTTCTCACCCACCTTCCCCGGGAGGACGCCCAGCCCCTCCTGCACGCAGAGCCCCCCTGCCCCGCACCATCTGCACCTCCTGTCTGAGCCCCCCACCAGCAAAGCTCCCACAAACCCTTCCCTGTATCAACGGACCAGAGACCCCGTTGCTACGGATCAGACGATGTGTCTGTTTACAAAATTAATATGCATCTAATTAGCATGTTTTAAACCCCTGTATTTAAAAGCAGTGGAATTTGCATATATTTGCATGTGTTATTAATTTCACAGTGGCTTTGATGAGACACACGTTCCAGGGCCGCTCCCAGGACGTGATTCCACCTTTTCAAACCGAAACAAAGCCCTCGCCTCCCTCCTGCCCACCAGCCCTCCTCCCCGGCCACACGCAGCCCTCGCTGAGCTGGGTTTGTGTTAACACCGTGCCCGGGGAAGCTTCCTAGGCACAGTCTGCAGTTAGACCCTCGTTTCCCATTTCTTCCAGTCCAAGTCATGGCAGTGGTGCCTCCAGAAACCTCCCTACTGACCCCAGCCCTGACGGGGGCTCTGTGCTGTGCTTTGCTCAGAGCATCCTTCAGACACCAGCCTGCATCCAAGCCACTGACAGCAGTCAGAGACTCAAAGTAAAGATTAAACACCAAACTGCGGCAACTAGAATCCATTAACCCTCATGTTACAACAAATCTGTAATTTTCAGCATCCCTCAGGCCCATGCAGGCATTCAGACGTGATTTCCTGAGTTTACTCGGTAATATCCTAATCACACGTAACAGCAGTTGTCAGAGTGAACACGGATCAGCAGCCAGCACCAGCGCCGCAAACCACCCGGGACGGCGCGGCAGCCGCATCGTCTGAGCCTTCCTCTGCAGAGGGGCCGAGCGGGAGAGGTTGCATTGCGCTCTTGGAGGACACAGAAGGCTCTCCGTGTTCAGATTTTAACTGCAACCGCCCTCCTCCCCGGCCTTTGCAATGCATCCCTAGCATTTTCTTTGTCTCTAACAACATGAAGTATCAGCCTGCTTGCGCGGCTTGGAATGACAATTCAAATACAATTTTACGTCTATGAGCTGATTTTTCCCAACTCATGTGATGGCCAAATCCAGCCCAAATTGTCCACGTGTGACTTTCAAAGCATGTTAAATGTGCAAATTGTACCTGCACACGAAATTCACGGCAGTAAATACGGAGGGAAGGTTGAGGGATGAAAACCTGAGGAGCCGGGGTTTAGTCCCTGGTTTCGTTCTGAAATGAGCCTCGATCTCTTTACACCAGAGCAGTCGGGATGTCATACAACAGTGCTTCCCTATCAGGGTATTTTTTGTCTGAAATCAAACCTACAAAATACTGCCACTACGGTTCCTTTTTCACATGTTTTGCTCCTGACATTTCTTCTGGCTTCCTATTCTTTCTAAGAACACAAAAAATCCAGAGTCATTAAATTTCTGCAGGAATTATCTTTTAACATATAGAGATGGAAAGCAAGAGGCTTCATGGGGAAAATATTTATTGCATTCAGAAGTAATGGAAACAATCTCTGCTTTTGACCCCAGCAAGGCCTCTCAAATTCAATTCTCAGGAGAAAACCACAGTCAAAACAGCAAAGCCTTAATTCAGAGACACGAGCCTCCCGAACCAGTCACCGGAGCCCTCTGCTGACGCTACAATCATAGGTCAATGCCACTTAGAACCAACTTAGGGACCATTCGGGGCAGGCAAAGGATGTATTTGATCCATCTCCCCTTTTAATCAGTCTTTCTCGGTTATTGATGGAGGCTCTGCTCCCAGCCGCCCCAGCCCCCAAGGAGCCATAAACACCAGCAATTTATAGGGTTGTGGGGGGTAATTTGTCTGGTGGAGGTTGCAAGTGGGCTGTGCAGGGGGCTGATGTGAACTGTCACCCCTCCGCAGACTCCAATCACAGCTAATCGCCTCTGGGCGCACGACGGGGCGGGTGGGTTTAATATTCATCTTAATTGCAGCAAGGGCTGGGTCATTCATAAGAAATTTCTCTGGAGATGCAATTTAGACTCACAAGGATTCTGTGTTAGATCTTTAAACCTTCTTTGAAATGCTCCCCTGTTTCCCTGCCGAAAAGAAAAAAAAAAAAAAAAAAAAACCAAACAAAAAAAAAATAACCCGTC